AGAAGAACTTTGCTCTGAGCCATGGAGTCTGAGTATTTCTTTCTTGGATTTTGAAAGGAGCACACATTGACATTTACCTCATTAAGAGACTATCATGTTTACCGATCTGATCATGAAATCTGTAGAGGAGGTGGTTTCTATCTTCTATAAAAAGTCCTTACATCTAAAAAACATCCAAGTTACTCAGGAGCTTGCTCTTCCTGAGACCATTATCTGTGAACTGACCTTAAATATCACATTTTGGTTCTTACTATGTTACAGAGCCCCTGATTATGACATAGAACATGTAAACAAACTAAATACACTACTAACATGGGCAGCATCCTGCCCACACACTTTTTTTCTTTCTTGGTGACTTCAATCTACCTCATATTAACTGGATCCTAAACAAATGTACAACTGAACCCATACATGCAACCTTCTACAATGCTGTAACAAATCTGGGACTGGAACAACTAGTAACCAACAATGCTAGGCTAAACAACTGCCCTTGATCTCATCTTCTGCAATAGTTTAAATTCAATTTACAGAATACAAATTAAAAAACCCCTTTCCAACATGAACCACAACACGATTGACTTTTGTCTCAACATAAATCCACACAAAAATCATCACAATGACAAAATCCCCAATTATAACTTCAAAAACGGCAACTATGATCTTATAATCAATGATCTCTCTTCCCTTGATTGGAAATTTCTATTCACCGGATGCAATACTGTTGAAGACCATTACAACATATTCTTACTAGAAATCAAAAGAGCCATCAAACTATATGTACCAATAACAACTCCCCAAACCAGGATAAACAGATTACCCAAAACCATAAGGAAGCTTCAATCCAAAAAGAGATCACTTTGGTGAAAAAACAAATCTGGTCACATTGCCAACTTCAAAAGCTGATCCCAAAATCTATGCCACCAGATAAAAACTGAATGCACTAATTATCACATTAAACAAGAGGAAAACCTTCTATGCACCAATTCCATCCTCGCTTTCTACAACTTTGTAAACAACATACTAAAAGACTCAAGATCCATCCCACCCCTAAAAGGACCTAATGGTAAAGACTGCAATGATGACACCATTAAAACCATCCCTCTTTAACACATTCTTTGGCTCAGTATTTGTAACCAGCAATGGATCACGCCCAGTACTTCCTAGTCGAACCACAGTCAACTACAATGATTTAATACATATCGATTTTACAGAAGACATTGTTGAAAAAGCACTGCACAATCTAAAACCATCCCTATCTATTGGACC